GATCACTGCGAAGGCTCCAGCGATGATATAGTTCAGTCGATATATAGCAATTTGACAATAGAGCAAGGTAGTCCCAGCACACAAATACAACAGGACGGACAGAATCCAATAGCCAGGTCTATAACGAAATAATGAAACGATTTCAAATATGAAGAGCTTGAAATATTTATAAATAGCAATCAAATGGGACAAAGGGCTGCCCATTTAGCAAAGTGAATTTGCAATCGTATTTCATCTTGAATCCGTTGTTTACTTACAATTTCTGAGGTGAGCGTAGCTGCAGCAGCAAGCTAATTGAGCTAATGGACACAATGGTTGTATGTAAAGCTGGATCGGGTAGAATAATGCCATGTCTGTAAATGGATGATTCATATGTATATCTCGAAACAATATTACAAATCGAGAGTTGGAGACGCACCTGCGACTGCGCAGCCAGGCCAAGCTGGCCGGAACGCTAAGCAATAGGAGTGTCAGCAGCAATAGGAGTAGGGTTACATGGAAGGAAAAGTTTTGCAGGCCAACGCATAGCTCCTCCTCAGCTTGATCCTTGTTGGGCTGCAGCGGTTTCTGTTCGTGTTGCTCATCTTGTCCTTGATTCTGCGACTGCTCATCATCATCACTGGGCACTGGCGACTGGTCCATGGCGTTAGCTACAGCTGTAGATTGATTTCCTTTAGTGGTCTTTGAGTTCTTGCCAATGCCGGTTGCCATGTGCACTATATTGGCCGCCTTTTGCCACAAATAGTCCTCCAGATAGTCCTTGTAGGCATTCGATACCATCAGGAAATAGAAAACAAAGGCCAAAAACAAGGCCAGCCCGCTGCAGGCCCCCAGAGCAACGCTAATTGTCAGTATGCCGTAGGTGATCGGCAGATGTGTCATGATCGAGAGCATTATGTTCGAGCCGGATGAGGATAGGCGTGTCAAACGCAACGCCAGACGATGGATCGCATTCCCATAGGTGGTCAAACAAAACCATAAGGCCAAAGCGGTCATCACCGACAGCCCAATGGCGGTGCAATGGATGATGATCGATATATTAATGCTATAGTCCAGTTGCTCGGGTATCGGCAACATCTTCATATTGAGTACCAATTTCTTGAACAAGCGGCAGCCTGAAATTCCAAATTTGAATGTAAGCTCGATAGGGATAGCATTTGGGTGTGGCTGACTATACCTGTTACCACATAGAGCGATGTGTACTGCAAGTAGCCAATGTAGGGCTTCAAGCTCTGGAAGCTGCCCGCGACCTGAAACTTGTCCAGCTGATTGCGCAGCACAATCAACAGCACGCAAACGAAATGTGCTGGCATCCAGCCATAGAACTCAAGTACAATACGTGACAAGGCATCAGCATAGGAATACTCATAGCTAAGAGAGAGATAGATTGATAGATAGAGAGAGAGAGGGAGAGTGAGTAAGAGTTGTCTTAAGTGCACATGAGAGAGGTATATAGAGGTATATCTAATCTATGACTTTGAGCCAACAAAAATGGAAACTGCAATATTAGAAAGGACGTTGGTTCTATTCCATCTAAAAGTTCTTTTTCTATATGGATCTCACCTAATGCGATAACGGCAAATGGGATCCAAGTACAAGTCGAGCAAAACTGGATTCAATGTGGTATTATAATGTCGAGGCATTACGACGGGCACATTGATGTAAAGTCCAGGTTTTTGATCTGGTGAACTGAAAATACAAACGATTAGCTTTAGCCTAGTGTTAAATGCTGTTGGGAAATATTACGTCAGAGTATGGTAACGCTCAAAGCCGGCTGCCCAGGGCACGCACAGCCGAACCGTGATCCGGTATTTCGGCTGTAGACAGTTCTGCGGATCAATGTAAACGCGCAGGCTCTGATACGGTTCGACCAGATCGGCAATGCGCATGCGATAGTGAATGGTGCCTTGTAGTGTCTCGTTGATAGCGACGCGCCGCCCAGATGCATACCAGCGCGGCATGCGTATGTCTAGGATGCGATCCTTGGGGTCATAGATGTCCAGATTGTAGCCAGTGCGTTGACTGCCCGGCGGCAAGCGCACGAGCAAATGGGTCCACTTCTCATATGTCTTGCGTAAATTGTGCAAATCGAGAATTGCAACGCTTCTGGGATCTTGGTCTGCATTGGGCAGACGCTGAACGAGATGTGTTAAAGACGTTGCCTTATGGCTAAAACGAGAGAAAGAGAGAGAGAGAGAATTAGTTGTTTGTGTGGATGTGGATGCTAGCGCTCACCAATAGTTCTGTCCGGTTTCAATGTTCCTATATGATTCACAGCCGAATAGCCAATTCTCATCGCCGTCAATGTTCAGAGCCTCAATGGCAAGTTTCTAGAGAGTCGCAAAAAAAGAGAACACATAAGAATTTTGTGTTAATTTTAGCCAACAGCTCAATACAACGATCTCAACGCTAAATCACTGAAAGCAATACGCTCTCAATGCGCTTTGTGAACAGTGTATTTAGAGATGTTGTTAAACTAAATTAGATGCAACCTTATAGCGTGGCTGACGACCTAAGCCAATCAGCTCATAATAATGACTTTTTAGGCCGTTAGTGAAAAACTTGTTGATGACTAGACTACGTTCTTCATGCCAATTATTGTGGGTTGGAATCTTTATGAAGCTCTGCTGACGTGTTGGCGATTTCTACAAGATACAGAATAAGTTAAATGGATTGAGCAAGTTGAGAAGCCTCGCATGTCATTTACCACAAAGTGTCCCAATGCAGATTGCATGTTGCGATGTTTGTTGTTGCTAAAGACCACTGAGCCGTCATCTCGTCGCTGGGAAATGCTGAACAGGAAGCCATTGATGACCTGCATGAACTGCAGGCACCAGACGGCCGACAAGTGGTCACAGCTAAGGCTCACGCGTGGTATAGCCGAGGTCTGCGGAAGGAAAGAATTTTAGCGGGGAGTAAATTGATAACTTTGATATTGTTTCTTGCCATGGCATGTAGATCGTTGAACTGCGAGGTGGTCAGACCGGCCTGCACGAGCAGATCTCGATTGCCGCCACCCGTAGAAATGAGCAAGACATTATCCAGCTTGGCGGATAGATCCTGGTTGGCCATGCTCTGCTCGCTGAGCGGCTTCTGATGCAAGCTCTGGCATACATTTGTCATGATTGACGGCTGGGTGGCGGTGCGTGTGCGGCTGAGCTGCTCGTGTGTCTCGCTATAGAATCGGCCCAGATGTGCATCCAAGTTGAGCACCGGATGATCGAGTGGTGTCGATATGCTGATAATGGCATTAATATGCTGACTGATTTCTGCATCGGTTAGCACTGACTGGGCCAGCTTGCCGCCCATGGAATGGCCGATCAGCACAACGGGGCTGGGCTGACTATATAGTGAAGCAATGGTACGTATGCAGTGTTTGAGAAACGATTGTTGATGATACATGTAGCCGCCATAGAGAGCCGACAGCTCCTCATCGTAGTCAATTGTGTAGTAATCTAGATGTTTGCCTGTATTTGGATGTTCGCCTGCCTTGCGCAACGCCACCGATGCTAAGGAGCGTACCTGCTTGTACGACCCGGCATTGCCGGGCACAAAGATAACTGGAGCTCCAGTCATACGCGTTTTAAGAGGATCCAGAGGCTGGCGCATACCTTCATAATAATAGTATAGGCCATAGTTGGGAAATAGCTTATTGGCATTAAATCGAACGCGCTACACAATTGTAAAACAGATTTGGTCGTTAAGGCTTAATAGATATTTGAAGCGTTTCGCTTAACACAACTTACCGCAAATCTTGGCTCACCAAACATATAAGTCATTCGGCAAGCATTAGGCTCCACCTCGAGGTGTATGTGTGCAATGCCATATAAGAAACTGCATATTGAGGCAATCACCAGAAGCACCGCACAATTTCTAAACACAATCATTTAGTTGTGTTTGATTTGTAATTTCCAGCGATTTGAGGCAGCGGTATTATTTTTGTTGTTACTTAGCTCACTCAGGGTTGCCAAACGTTGCGAATATTCTTATTATTGGACATGGAACAATAGAGATGAGAGCGTTTCGTGTTGACTTCAACAGCTGTTTCGCTGATAGATTTGCAACGCTTAATAGTTGAACCTTTTGTGGACTTACTTATTTTAATAAATTTTTATTACTAATTTAAATTTAATATTTGACTTGTTTAAAGGTCTTAAGAATATCACAGTAATTAGAGAATCGATACTGATAATTGGAAAATATCAAAAATAAAATCTATTCAAATTTGGATATTGCAGTAACTGTACAATGAATGTATTTACTTTATATTTGTGTTTGTCAGCTGTATTTCATTGTTTTATTACAGATAATCATATGCCTACTTAAATCAGTCAAACATGTATCCGATTAGCTTCGAGAAAATGCCGATAGTGCAGCTTTAAAACAATCGACGTCGATAACGCGGCTTACACACAATTGCAAATATCAACGCGCGCACACATGCACACACACATGCACACACACATGGACACACTTTGCTGCTGAGAGCATTCCAATCAAATACCTTTAGGATCTTAATGCTGAAGTGTGTATTGATCGTTTTGTTTGTGGTGTTGTTGTTGTTGTTGGCTCGCATCTCGTTGCGGTAGTCCATCATTCAGTTAATGAACGCGCTCGCGATCGCACTCGCGCCCTAACTTCTCCCCTCGTTGCACGCCAACAATGCTTCGTAACGTGTTTACGTTTCTCTAAGCCTCCGTTGGATCATGTGTATGTGTGTGTGTGGTGTGTCTGCGCGGGCGCTTAATTCGCGCATTGTATCTAGCTAACTAACTGGCTGACTAGCCTCTGGGCCTGTCTGGGAAAAAAGACAGGAGAGAGACAACAACAAAAATATAAAGACAGTTATGCCCTGCTGTGTCGCGTCAATAACAAAAACAAGCTATATAGCTGACGCCGTCTCGTTGTCGTCGACGTCGACGTCGGCATCGACATCGACATCGTTGTCGTTGTCGTTGTCGTTGTTGTCGTCGTTTGCCTCTCTCTCTCATCTGTCGATCGTTGATCGCTGTGTGTGTTTTGTCTTCTGTTTCGTTTTGTTAGTGTTTGTCGTGGTGTCGTTTATTGTTGTTGCTGTAGCTGCTGCTGCTGGTGCTGTCGCTGGTGCTGATGTTGCCGCCGCTTGCTGTTGTTGTTACGCGCTGTGACTGACTTATTCAATGATTTAGTAAAATATTCATAGCTCATTCCAAAACTTGTTCTTGTGCCTTGTGCTGCAAATACGACAAAAAATAACGCGCTACAAAATCCAATTTCTATGTATCTATCAAATAGAAAATATATATATTTATAAATAAGTAATAAATGCATATATATTCGTAATGTTCTCTATGTGTAGCAATAGTTAACAATTGTTTGTGTTGTGTTGTTTTTATTTATATTCTGTGTACATACATAAATATTTTTTTATTGTTATTTGCTGCAATTGATTTGCAAGCCAGCTATTATTCAGTCAGTTGAGATTGACTCTCGATCAATCAATTAAAGTCTTTCAAACTATCGGCTTGTGTCGCTTGCGTATTCCGTCCATATCTCTCTCTGTTGCTCGTTCTGTTTGTGTTACTCGTGTGCAATTCAAATACACCGCCAAGCCACCCACCCGACGAAAACAGTGTGTGGGGGCCCTTATTATCATAAACAAAACTAAAGGAAATCATTTGTATTTGCAATATTATATATTAAACATATATATCACAATGGAGGTGTGGCGCTTGCTAACGGTTGGCGCATTTCTAGCATTGGGATTTGCATGCTTCTATGGCGTGGTGGAGTCGTGCAACGAAGTCGTCTGCGCCTCTATAGTGTCCAAGTGCATGTTGACGCAGAGTTGCAAGTGCGAGCTTAAGAACTGCTCCTGCTGCAAGGAGTGCCTCAAATGCTTAGGCATCAAGTACTATGAGGAGTGCTGCAGTTGTGTGGGTGAGTATTTACATGTTTACATATACATATTTTTCTGATGATGTGATCTAGTGTGACATTATCATTATTCATTATTGCGTTGTCGCAGTTGCCTTGTTTGTATATGTATGTATGTGTGTCTGTGCTCTTTGAGATGTGTAACTATGGCTATCGCGCATTGTCTGACTATCGATAGTTGAGCCGCCGTTGCAAAGCCGATAAGATAGTTGCACTTTAACACCTATGTTACGACCATGGCTAACAATTTTTTGTTAACTTGCAGAACTGTGTCCCAAGCCAAATGAAACGCGAAATGCGCTGTCCAAAAAATCACACGTTGAGGATTTTGAAGGCGTTCCAGAACTATTCGATGTGCTGGCCAATGAAAGTGAAAGTGAATACTGGGATGTCTTCACATTCCAAGTAGATTGGTCTAGGGGTAAACCAAAACTGGATAAAGATGAGAAATACTATTTAAGTGAGTAGAATATAGAATAGTTACCTATGTACACAACTTATAAATGCTTATTCTTATCCTTATTAAAGAATATAATGACAAAAATCTGGAAGAGGCTCATGAGGAACGTGACAATACGAAAACAGTCAATTGTACGGTTATATATTTAGATCAGTGCGTATCGTTAAATAAATGCCGTCAGTTCTGTCAAACAATGGGTGCCAGCAGTTGTAGGTGAGTCCAATTCCATTCCCGGATTATTATGAATATTATATTTTTCATTAGTAAAATATATGTATTTTTTTTTAGATGGTTCCATGATAGCTGCTGTGAATGTGTAGGCTCTACGTGCATTAACTATGGTGTTAATGAGAGTCGTTGTCGACAATGTCCAGAGACGAAGGAATTGGGCGATGATTTTGATGACGAAATCGACGAGGAAATGCAGGACTTTGGCGATAGCATGGGTCCATTTGATGGCTCAGTGAATAGTAATTATTGATAATAACAGTGAACAAATTTAAAGGATCAAAAACACTTAACAAATTAGCTACTCGATTCAGTGACATTATTATTGTGTAGTACGAAGTAATTTTGTATAGCATTATTATTATTATGAATTTTTTTTTATATGCATATATGAATAAAAAGAAAAATTTATATGTATACAATATGTTAAGGATTAACGCCTTTCGGTTATTTTTCGTTTGAGCAGCCGGACTATATATAGACTTTTCTTTCGTATGGCGGTCACTTAAGGGTTAATATGAAATTTTCGATAGTAAATATGATAATACTAAAATGCGTTCGCATAAATCCTCGGGCATATTTATGTATTTGTTTTCCCAATTCTCACACTGAAAACTATAACAATGTGGCTTTCAAAATGACATCTTTATGAAACAAATTAATAGTTTACTAACTGCCCCCCCAACAACATCGAACAGCTGATTGAGCGCTGCTGTGACAGGCCAGCCGCGTTTTGCGCCGGGGTGGCAACTCTAATGCATGTAATTTCAAGCAAACAACTGAAAGTTACGTATTCGAACCGGCGGCCACAAGTAGCCATAATACAAGTGGCTAGGAATTATGTTCAAAGGCTTACGACATGTCAGAACTGTGCTGCAACGTGGACCCTACAATGTGGCACGCGGCCATACCTACGTGACACACAATGGCCAGCCAAATGGCGATGCTAATGTTGCCGCCGCCGCCGCAGCCGCGGGCACCGACACACGATTACCCAGCAATCTTAAGCGACAGCTAAATTCTCCCGCCCTACACCCATTGAGCTGGCGACAGGTGAGTTGTGCATCCCAGTGTGAGACTGTCTCACAATTAAATACATTTCGGCCATCACACAGATGCAAATGCTGCGGGCGGAGTACAAGGCAATTGTAGGTGTAGTTGCACGCTCGCTTCAATTGACTCCACGTGAGGTGCAGCAACTGCATATGCGATGCTTTTGCTCACGCAAGGCAGATACAGAGACAGACAAGCCCCGCTCCGGCAAAGAAAGCAGCAACGTGGCGGGCAATAAACCTACTTCAAGCCCCAACACAACTGAGTCGGAGAAGAGCGGAAGCAGTGCGGATGGAATCAAGGGCAGAGAAGAAGAACCCAGACCGAGCTCCGCGGCTGGGCCCGGCTCTGGCGACGAGGCCTCCAATCCAAATAACAACAAAAACAATGAAAACGATGAGAAAATGCGGTCGGTATTAACAAAGGCGGTACTATGGCTATTCACCATATATATGTTCGTGGCGTTCATCTCGTTGCTTATAACGCCGCGCACCGAACGACCAGAGGGCTCCACACGCTACGTCTCCTGGAATGAGTTTGTTCACCATATGCTAGCCGTGGGCGAGGTCAAAGAACTGATCATACGCCCGGATATGGAAATGGTTACGATTATCCTGCACGATGGTGCTGTGATTAAGGGTCGCAAAGTAACCTCTACCATATTTCACATGGCTGTGGCGGATGCTAACAAATTCGAGGAGAAGTTGCGTATGGTGGAGAAGCGCTTGGGGATCACAGACGGCGTCCCGGTCACCTATGATCGACAAACAGATACCACGGGCCGCATCCTGATGCTGTTACTCTTTTGCGCCCTGCTCATGTCCATAGCGACGCGTATGAAGAGCATGAAGAGCCCGCTCAGTATGGATTCATTCGTTAGTAATCTTCCAAACAGTGCCTCGATATCCTATCGCTTGATTGATTGATTTTCAATTGTGTATTCCTTAGAACCAAATGGGCAGGGCCAAGTTCACGCTAGTCGATCCCTTTGATGGTGGCCGTGGCGTACTGTTTCGCGACGTGGCCGGTCTCAGTGAAGCCAAGCAGGAGGTGAAGGAGTTCGTGGACTATCTGAAGACACCCGAAAAGTACCAGCGACTGGGCGCCAAGGTGCCACGCGGCGCCCTCTTGCTGGGACCACCGGGCTGCGGCAAGACGCTGTTGGCCAAGGCGGTGGCCACCGAGGCGCAGGTGCCGTTCCTCAGCATGAATGGATCCGAGTTCATTGAAATGATTGGCGGCCTGGGCGCCGCACGTGTCCGTGATCTGTTCAAGGAAGGCAAGAAGCGGGCACCCTGCATCATTTACATAGACGAAATCGACGCTATCGGACGTCAGCGTTCCGGCACCGAAAGCATGGGCCAGGGCAGCTCCGGCGAGTCCGAGCAGACACTTAACCAACTCCTAGTCGAAATGGACGGCATGGCCACCAAAGAGGGTGTACTTATGCTTGCCAGCACCAACCGAGCAGACATTCTCGATAAGGTAGGAGATAGATAGAGATGAGACTCGCCCAAGTGCAGCTTAATTGATTCCGTTTCTCTCTTTGTGTGCAGGCTTTGCTTCGACCTGGTCGCTTCGATCGTCACATACTTATTGATCTGCCGACGCTGCAGGAACGCAAAGAGATATTTGAGAAGCACTTGTCGGGAATTAAGCTGGCCGAGCCGCCCAGCACCTATTCACAACGTTTGGCACGCCTCACGCCCGGCTTCTCGGGCGCCGACATTGCGAATGTGTGCAACGAGGCGGCATTGCATGCGGCGCGCAGCGTTCAAGCAGAGGTCACTAGCAAAAATCTTGAATACGCCGTCGAGCGTTTAGTGGGTGCGTGTCGAGAATTCCGGGCTCTCTCCCTCTCTGTCTCTCTTTATCACTCTGTGTGAGCGGATCAATTAATCTGTTGTTGTTTCAGGTGGCACCGAGAAGCGCTCGCATGCTTTGTCGCTCACCGAACGCAAGGTGATCGCGTATCATGAGAGTGGACACGCTCTGGTTGGCTGGATGCTGCCCAATTCGGATATCTTGCTGAAGGTGACCATTGTGCCGCGCACTAGCTTGGCCCTGGGCTTTGCCCAATACACGCCCAGCGAGCAGCATTTATACTCCAAGGAGGAGCTATTCGATAAGATGTGCATGGCACTGGGTGGACGTGCAGCCGAGAATTTGGTGTTCAAGCGCATTACGACTGGTGCCCAAAACGATTTGGAGAAGGTCACCAAGATAGCCTATTCGCAGATTAAGAAATTTGGCATGAACGAAAAGCTGGGCCCGATCTATGTGCGCGACGCGAATGAATCTGGCGGCGGCGGCGCCAGCGGCAGCGCCAAGCCCTTCTCCCGTGCCATGGATAGCATTATTGATCACGAGGCGCGCAGCGTTGTCTCCGAGGCCTATAGGACAACCGAGGAGCTGCTGATTAAACATCGCGACAAACTGGAGAAGGCAAGGCAACACGTCTCTTATCTCTCTTCCATTCTAATTATCTCTGTCTCTCTTTCTCTCTCTCCCTCGCTCTTTCGCTATCTCTCTTGGTAGCTGGCAGAGGCATTGTTGGATAAGGAGACGCTAGATTATGATGAAGTGGTAAATTTAATCGGTCCGCCACCATTTGATCCAACCAAACGTCAGGTGGACTCGGTAGAGTTTGAGCAATCGCTAAAGAATCTTGGCACAGATCAGTCACAATCGTAAGGTGCTGCACCAAGGACAATCAACAAGCCGAAAACGAACGATGACGCTTTAACAACTGTGTCGCCTACGCCTCCTCCTCCTGCTCCTCCTCCTCCTCCTCCTCTAACTGCTTTAGCAGCTCTTCTTGCTTCACCTCTCTTATCAAACATATTTCAAGAGCCCAGCCTTCTATTCACTCGTTAGACCGTTGAAGCCGGTACAAGTTCGATAAATGTAAATAAAGCTGTTTATATTTTTAATTGATTCCGCAATTAGGCTTTCGATTGCTCATAACATAATCCCCATGAATCCCATTTAACTGTTTGCACTTCTTAATAGCCTGTCCGCTTGAAGCGGTTACTCATTATGTATCAACTGCTCGACAGCACCTTTGCACCTGTTGAGCACCTCTCAGACAACAATTTCAAAAATGCCTTAACATTTTAGATACAAATTTTATTTTTCTTAGCCAATTTCCTGAATAAATCATTTTTATGTAAAATATTAAAAGCGTCAATTTTTAATATGATGAGATTATTATTATATTTAGTTCTATAAAACATAAGCGAAATTTGTCAGCATTTAGTGTGATAGGTGCACCGTACATTTGGTCTGGAGTGCAATTCGAGTTCTTTAGGTTTTTGAAACATTAGTTTACAAGTCGATTCCAAACATCGAGAAATGATTCCAAATTAGGAATAGGTAGGTAGGTAGGCGTGGATAGAAAATACTATGTTTTCTTACCCAAGTCTATATATATGACTTTCTGTCACTTATTTCTATTTATATTAAGCTTCAATAAAAAAGCAATTCACCTTAACCTAAATTCAATGATTTTTTTAAGGTTAGGTGGATAAAGGCCAAAATATTCCTGCTCTAATTACGTTCTAATAGAGCAATTATTTAATGTATAAATATAAGTTAAGCGTGCCCATAGGCATGGCCTAAATCATATATGGGAAGTATCTGGTAAATATGGTATATACTATATATGCTATAGGCCTCCGACAGGTAAGATTTTAGTTGTATTTGCGATGACAATGCCTAGTGCCTTGTCATTTAACCCCTAATAAGTGATGTGTGCTTAATGCCAGTGAAGTACGCAACTAAGCCGCCAACTATTGTATGTAGCATATGATAGACTATGAAATGCCCTGTAAATGAGTTCGGAAAATTGGAGAGAAAATTGTAGAGAGAGAGAGAGAGAGTCAAAGGGACAAATATATAGATGGATAGAGAGTGAAAGGCAGTGAGCGAGGGGGGTGGAAGCGAGAGAGAGGGAGAGCATGAGGGCCAGAGAGGGAGAGGCAGAGAGAGTGAGATATAGAGTGAGAAAGAGAATACTTTGAGAGGGATATTAAGGCACAATTATTAATGAGGGTTATTAAGAGAGATATAGTGCGCGAGAGGGAGAGAGAGAGAGAGAGAGAGAGAAAGAAATATATATTAACAGAGAGAGAGAGAGAAAGAGAGAGAGAGACAGAGAAATATATATTAAGAAAGAGAGAAAAATATATATTAAGAGAGAAAGAGAGAAAGTGATACTGAGAAAGAGTGCAAGAGCGGGGGATAGAAGTAAGAGCGAGACATATTAATAGAGAGAGTGTTAGGTTGGTGAAGAGAAATGAGAAGGAGAGATATATAGAGAGAGAAAGCTACTGAAAGAGATTGATTCGATGCAGAGAGAAATATTGAGAGATATTGAGGATGATAAGATGTATATACATAGATATATAGGTATATATAAATATATATGTATATAGAGAGAGAAATAGGCAGTTAGAGAAGTAAATCGGGAATATAGAAAAATACAAAATACAAGTTTTTCGAAAAGTGCAATTCAATATTTGACGTCGCTCTATTAATTGCTGTTAATAATGATTATTCAAAAAGAATTTCCGACACTTTTTTGTGGCTTTAAGCACCCGCCAACTATTAGGCAATTGGGAGTAGCTAATGACCGTAGAGGTTCACAGTTCAACTTGCTACGATTAATTCTATATTTGCCTGGCTAATGGCAACTGGAGATTAACACGTTCACAGCTCACCCGATCTGAGCTCCAGCCGAGCAGTTAGCAGTTAGCGGGTCAGGCAGTTATAAAAACGAATTGCACGCGTTCGCATCGATTTAGTCGCAGATCTAAAGACGAACACGGAGAATGTCGTACGGAAAGCATTTAATTATTTTTACAGTTGCGACTGCTCTTTGGGCTGCAGTCGGTGCTGAGATTTTGCGTAAGTTTCGTGCTTCGTTTTGCCAGGTGGTTGGGGTGCCTTGTAAAGCTAATGGCAAGACCTGCTTGCAGCTAGCCCGATGAAACACTGCACTCTGCACGACGAGGCTTGCATTTTGGAGCAGGTGAAAATCTATTTCCGTGAATTCAAGTACGGCTTACCCGCCTGGAATATACCCAGCGTAGAGCCCCTGCAGCTGGGCACGCTGCGCATCAAGAGCGGCGGTGCGAGCGATTCGATGCAGTTCAGTCTGATCATGCGGGACACGACGCTGCACCACTTTTCCGACAGAGCGATCCTCAGGAGCGTGAAGGGCTTCTCTGCGGATCTCACGAAGCCGCTGAAATTGATTTGGATCGTCAATTCGCCCGACATTGAAGTCCGGGCCAACTACGAAGTTGACGGCAAGCTACTGATCCTGCCCATTGTCAGCAAAGGCACGATGGTCATCAATCTAAGCCAAATGCAGTCCAAAACTCGCATCACTGCTGTGCCGGAGCAACGACCGGACGGACATTCCTATCTGAAGGTCACCGACTACAAAACGGTTGCCAAAGTGAGCTCGTGAGTATCGATGAAATAGTAAATGGGAAGGGCTTAGTTCTTAGATTTGAGTAATATATTGAGGAAGTAGAGCTATAAATAACCTACTCATGTTAATGTTAAACTTCATGTCAACTGTCATGTCAATTGAAAGTCTCTTATAGAGCTTCAGTTACTTACGAAATCTTCGAGCTATACTCACCAAAATTTCTTATAGAATATGTGGATAGTCCTTCGCTTTAAGTCGGAATACGTATTTACCCAGTTGTTATATCATATTTCAATTTCAATTTTTACTCCTTTAGCGGATCGTTTAATATGTCGAATCTGTTCGACGATAATGTGGAGCTGCGGGACAGCACCTTGAAGGTCCTCAACGATGAGTGGAGCGCTCTATCAGCGGACATACAGCCGAAGATATTGGAAGCCGCCGATCGTGCCTATAGAACTGTCTTGCAAATGTTATTCGACAAAATACCATATGATGAGTTCTTTCTAAAAGAATAAGATCTTAGATTACACTGATGTTATGTATCTATACTATATGCTATATGGGATTTACTGTGATCGATAATCGATTAGCACTTAGCTTGTAGACAGTCTGGAGGTTGTTGGGTAGACCTAGGGTTAATCTAATCTGTATATCAATATATCTAAGACTCAAGGCATTCAAAATACAGCCTGAAAACATATGTATATCTTCTATTAATCAATCGATAATTAACGATGTTTGGATTACCTTCATCGTCTTTCCCACATCCCGAATGTAAAAGGCTTTATGTTTAGGTTTTATCAGGTATGAACCTTGCGTATATTTTAGCTCCGAAAAAATGTATGTATATATATTTTAGATAGAAAACTAAGGAACTTTTCCAAAATGTGGAGCTAAGTTAAGAAGCACAGCCTTAAGCATAATGTTTATATATAAATATAGAGTTTGTGGATGTGAATGTGTTTTGAGCAAGAGCTTATGGTTCTAGGCTATCAGTCCAGTCGAGCACTTTTGCTACTTTTGAGTTATTGTATCCTCGATCTTAGATCTTTGGCATCTTGACATTTTGACATCTCTGCGACTCCTTCCAGCACAAGTGAAGTACAAGCGATACACAAACACAGACACAAACACGTACACCCACACACATATACGCACATGCGTATATATGTGTGTGCGTATGGGCAACTCTGAAAGAGCGAGTATAAGAGAGAGAATGAGCGAGAGAATCCCAGGAGCTGTTACCCACCTAAGTAATGCTCGCACATTCGGTTGGCGTTGAGTTTTTGGGCGACTCTGGACCAAGACTGCAGCTAGATCAAACGCTGCAGCTGGTTTGGAGCAATGGGCACAGCTGTAGCTGTGCCGTCATCTGTTATCCGTCGCCGTGTTGGGTCTGATCCTCCTCCGGATGCTCCACGATCTTGTTATCCGACTGCATGACGGTCTGCAGAATGGAAATTAATGTTAGTTTCTATGGCTTTTGTGCATCCTGTAAACAGTTAAGAGTGCTTAATGGGTATATTCAATAATCTGCAAGATTCTCTTTAAGTACTATAATTATCTAGCTCTACCAGCCATCCTCAGGCTCCCATCTTGTTCATTAGGAATATTTCTGAACTTTCATTTATAAAAGATCTTAACAAGACATTCAAAGACATTTCGCATGCCCATTCTCCAGTCAAATTTACAGGGTGTTCTTATATTAAAGGGTATAAATAGTATTCCCAAATTCTTATCAAGCCTACCTTGAGTTTACGGTGTTTGGTCTCTTTGTCATTGTCGGGCGGACTGTCCGAGCCATCCGTTGTCTTGATGAAGGACGAGTAGAACGAGGAGAAACTGGAGCCATCCATGTCGTCGCTGTTGCCATTACTGTCCGTGTACTTTTGCTGGAAACGGCAAGGAAAGAGGAGGGGTTAGCCTGGTTGCATTTGTGGTGTGTGCAGCAGCACTAGCAGACGGTACCTTCAAAATGAGCGGATTGCTGGGCTGATCAGAGGAGTAGCCTTCGCCGGTGACCGAGGCCATCGGCGAGTCGGGTATGCCCTTCTTGGACGAATCCGATGGCGCCAAATTCGAGCCGGGCTCCGCCTTCACGGAAGTCGCCTGCGAGGAGGCCTTCTGCTGCTGGGACGGTGTCACCGAGTGGAAGGCGCCCGGTGTCTTGTTCGACGACGAAGGTGGCGATTGCTGGGACTGCAAGATAATTGGAAATAACGATCAATTCAATGATCGATGATAGAGATTGACGAAGACCTACCGCATAGACAGGCTTGTTGTAGCTAGACTGTGAGCCACTGGAGCGGTCCGCCAGCTGCATCGTGTTGGTGACACTGGAGAATGGCATCGGCTGGTACATCATGGCTGTGGCCGCAGCCGCCGCCGGATGCGTATAGAAGAGCGACGGATGCGGGTACATAACACCGGCCATGTACTGCAACGGCATCGCCGTCGCTGCAGCGGCCTGCTGCGAAGTGCTCGGCTGTT